TCGTTCTTGCTGCGCCCAGTTGGACTGGGTCGAACTTTTGGAACGGCGCAGTAATAAGTGAACGAACAGGAATACCAGTGAACTACAGTGATGCTCCACATTAGGGCCCCCCTGTGGATGAATGCCAAAAAAGGGTAGTATCAAACCCCAGTCATCATTTGCTCTTCCCGAAGCAGCTGTTGAATTCTCATCGTTTTTTCCGAGTTTTTGATGTTATCGTTTTATCAAGCTGAATTGTTTGTCCAAGCAAATGCATTCCCTGGAGTTGGGCACGTGTCACAGAAAATCAGTGCCCTCGCCTCCGAATATCATATCATATTAGAGAGTTCTCCAATTGAAGCCTTATCATGTGATTCTAAGGCTGCCACAGTAAATAGTCTGGAGTCTCGGGCCCCGAAACACTTCAAACCTTGAGGGAGACCTTTAGCACCCCAAGCCATGAAACATGAGGAGCTCGACATCTTGGACCCAAAGTACTCCTACCGCCAACAATAACCTCTACCCGCAGCCTTGCCATTGAGTACAGAAACTCATCGTCATTGCAAAGTGGCTCCTCTTGGACCACCTGCAAAGTGCAGTGGGTTAAAGAGAAGGCCGCGAAGTCATAAGCACCCAAACAAGGGCCACAAGGCTAAGCAAGCAAACCAATCAATGCGAGGACTCCACGGCGTACAGCACAAAAGCCTGAATCTTTCAATGGGAATCATTCCTCCAATTGCTGCGTCAGGTTGTCCAGCATTCATTCATCTCGAATTGGGGGCTTGCGCTGTGCTCGCACGAAGCTTGCGCGACCTTGTACGCGCCCCTCTTTTTTTTCTCGCAAAATTGTTTTCGTTTAGGCCCATCACACTCTGTGCCGTGCTTGGGCGGAGCTTGCATGCGCCTACTTTTTCACAAGTTATGTTATACATAATTTTGGTGTGTAGGTCAAAGACGGTCAAAGACAAAGTATTTCAGACAACCGTCAGATGAGCTCTCAGCAGTGAGGCCTAACACTTCAAAGTCCGCAAACACTTCTTGCTCAAGTACAGCACTCCTCCGCTTTCCATCTCCTACTTCCCCAAGCTGCTTTGCGAAGCCCACTGTCACGAATATTGAGACCCCAATGCTGACACACTAGAAATCCCAAGCCGTCCAATCCCACCTGTCAAAGGATCAACATTAGGGACTCCCGTTTTGCCGTCAACATGCTACAGTAGCATCTTTATCCCCACAGGCCGCAAGAAAAAGAAGCGAACAAATGATCCACCCCAACCTGCACGACGTACGGAATCAACTCACTGACCGTCTTCTGCGGGCCCAGAGCCTGCATTTCAAAAGTTTCATTTTAGGGCTTAGGATCCACCAAAGAGAAACCTCCTTCTTGGACCTCACTAGTCAGGTTCTACATGGTTCTACCAGCAAGTTGGGAATGTCTACCTACTTGAATTCTTGCAGTCTCCTGGTTCAGAAGGAACGGTTGAAGGTTTTTCCAAGAACTAATATGTGACTTTGTCGAATAAGTATGTCATCATGCTGGTTGCAAATCTGGCTAGGAGCTCCAGAGAATGTCTCGACAATGGAAAATCCAGTCGCCTACGCAAAATGAAGCACTTACCCTGAGGCTGGAGCTGAGGCAATGAGATGTAGGTTGTTTACCGCGCCTGGCGTACGCAAGGAAGAACACTTGCTGCGTCTAAAGGGACCCTCACGTTCATGTGTAGATTGTCGAATACTGGTTCGCCGCTTCAGGCTTCCAAACCGGTTTGCCATTGATCTGGTTGGATCTGGATGAGTTGGCTACTGAGCGGAGGGCCGATCTTGATCGTAGCGTTCTCGTTTCTGATTTCCTCCTTGAAGAACTCCAGGTAGTTGAAGTCGGTGCCTGCGTTTCCTGGGATCTGGGTCTCTACACTCAACAAGCTTTTCCGAGCCCAGCATACTAGAGCTTCTAGTACCTGTAAACTCAAATGAGGGAGAGGCCAGCCATGGCGGACTGGGAGGCGCTCACAACAGTACTTGAGCCCTCACGCCTCTCGGAGGACAAGGTACAGCTGGCCATCAACAAAATACAAGCACGACTCAAGAGCACAATGCAATGCGCAGGCACAAGAAGCACTTGCAGTTCTACCACATCCGGCAGTAGCTGCTCTAGCAGCAAGCACTGCTTTGCGGAGCAATTGCTTTCTTGACGCTTCAGCGCTGCTTTTGCTACGATTTGAGGGAGCAGCATGTTCAAAAAAGCTGGGTGAAGGCTGCTTAGGCCTCACCCTCGCCTTGTGGG